AGAAAACCTTATTTTTTCCAAATGCATATTATATCTGAAACCTTTTGGTTTTCCCTGTTCACCTTATTACAAAATACCTAGAACTAGAATATATAACTCGAAACTAAAATCTGAAAATAACATCCCTTCTGAGCCTTCAGCAAGGCAGGGCAAAAAATGCAAACAAAATCAAACAAGAATAGTTCACACTTGTTCTGGACCATTAGGAAGCAAATCATAACCATCATGCTGCTTGGCACCTCCACTGCTTGTGCCGACCGGTATGCACTTCAAAACAACCGCAATCGGCATGCTAACAGCACCAACCACAACACTGTACAGCCACAGCTGCCAGCTCAGCGGCACCGTGCTGGCAAAAGTGCCCAAGAACTCGACTATGATGACTTGGAACACTACTGTCGATAAAATAATCCCGATGAACACCCAGTTTCCCAACAGCCCTCGGAAAATATTTATCTTCTCCATATCACGACTGTTTATTTCGTTGAAGACCTTGTTTGGAAAAGTGGACGGTGAAAAAGAAAGTTCAGAAGATTAATAAATAATCTTTACCTTAATTTGAATTAAGTATATAGTACATCAAGAAAAAGAATTAATTACCTGACAGAAGACAAAGGTGTTGAATATGAAGGTATTGACTATTGCAGTAGAATCAGAACCAGTGAGCCCCAGTACTTGCTTCCCGACGAAAGTGAGGACTAGAAGAACAGCCAGCTGGTAAATGCTCTGACCAATGATGTTTCGCCACATGGTCCTCGTGATGAAGCTCTCGGTTCTCCTAACAGGAGGCCTCTGCATCAGGCCATCGTGCGGTGGTTCAGTGGCTAAGGCAAGGGCACCTAATGTGTCCATGATTAGGTTCACCCAAAGCAACTGCACGGCCGTAAGTGGAGCAGCTCCTGCAAACAGCAGCCCAGATATTTTTATTTTTATTTTTTTGACGAAAAGATATTTGTAGATATTAGAAATATTTTATTCAGTGTTCGATTAATAGACTGAAGAAGTACCTGAGGCGCAAGCAGATATGAAATTGATCATGAGAGCAACAATATTGACGGTTAGCTGGAACTGCACGAATTTCTGGATGTTGATGTACACGGCACGTCCCCATTTTGCGACATTCACGATTGTTGCGAAATTGTCATCCATCACAATCACATCCGCGCTTTCTTTTGCAACCTGACAAATTTTATGTAAATGATATGTCACTTGGAAAAATTGAGCCACAGACAAAAGAAAATTGAGGTAATGCTTGATGAGGCATGTAGTGAAACCCATATAGAGGACAAAGAAATGGGACATTATCTAGACTAATTTGTATACAACAAAGAAATGCAAAAATACAATTTAGTATTATGAAACAAAGAAAAGAAGATGGTTATTGTAAACGAGCGAATTACCTCTGTTCCTGAAATGCCCATAGCAAGCCCGATATCCGCCTCATGTAATGCAGGGGCATCATTTGTCCCATCACCTGTAACAGCAACTACCTCTCTAAGCACGTTTCTTGCAGTCTTTACCAGAACATGCTTGTCCGTTGGTGATGATCGTGCCATTACCTAAATTCGAAATCTTTAAGTCGCATTTTCAAAAAAAAAAAGAATGATAAATCAGTTTGCGCATGTATATACCCACCTTAAGTTTTGGTATTAACTGGCTCATTTCATGAGGAGTCTTGTGACGAAAATCGGGACCTTCAACAGCCAGATCGTCACCCGTTAGTATTCCACATTCTCTAGCAATGGCTTTAGCAGTGTTTATATTATCGCCAGTCACCATGCGCACAATAATTCCAGCTGCTAAGCAAGTTTTAACTGCCTCCTTCACACCAGGGCGAACCGGATCCTTAATCCCCACAACTGCAATGAGCGTATATCCGTTCTCAGGTATATTTTTCTCATCATCGACATCCTTATAAGCCAAGCAGAGAGTTCGCAAAGCCTCATTAGCAAATTCATTGATAGTATCCGACACATTACTCACTTCTTCATCCGACAAAGGAACAGGTTCGCCATCGGCATTTATAAACTTGTCACATATTCTCAATATAATTTCAGATGCACCTTTGCAGAAGGCTCTCTTTCTGCCATCAGAAAGCGAAACGATCACCGACATTTTTTTCTTTTCGGAATTAAAAGGCTCGACCTTAAGTATATTGCAAGCCTGGCGTTGCTCATCGAAATCTCCGCCTAACAGCAGACCGTATTCTAGTATGGCGGTTTCCGTTGGAGTCCCCAGAATAGATCTTTTCCCGTTTTTATCCTTGACGACCTCAGAACCTGTGTTGTTAAAAATTCCTTGCAGGAGAACATTAAGTACGTTTTCAGACACATCCGCATTCAACGTGTTGTGGCCTCCTGAGGTGTTTACTTCTTTTGCTTTACTGCAAATGAACACTTTACTGACCACCATATGATTCGTGGTCAACGTGCCCGTTTTGTCCGTGCAGATGCATGTGGCGGACCCCATCGTCTCACATGCCGAAAGATGCCTGACCAGCGCCTTATCATTCATCAATTTTTTCATGGCGAATGCCAGACTCAGAGTGACGGCCAGCGGCAGCCCTTCGGGGACAGCAACAACGATTATAGTCACAGCTGTCGCAAAGTAATTCAAAATCTTGAGTGCATCATCCGAGGACCATTTCGTAAATTCGTGATTATTTACCTTCTCAACCAGAAACCTTATAATCAGGACCAGGAAAGTCAAGACAGCGAAAAGCAGCCCGATTTTTCCGATAATTGTCGCGACACCGTTTAACTTCACCTGCAGGGGTGTCTCATCCTCACCCCCTTCACTCAGTGTCTCCATTAACTTTCCCCATTCAGTCCTCATGCCAACAGTGGTCACAAGCATTTTAGCAGAACCGTCCTGAACTTTCGTTCCCGCCAAAAGGAAAGGCCTCTTTTCGTAAATATTAATCGGCACACTCTCGCCGGTCAAGCTCGACTGATCGATCAGCAAGTTGTAGCCCGATACAAAAATCCCATCAGCCGGAACCTGATCGCCAATGGATAAATGGACAACATCCCCAACAACCAAGTCGTATATGGAAACCTTCTGGCGGGTCCCATCTCGAACAACCTGGACAAAAATCTTCTTCTTTTCCCTGTCCAGCTCCTTGAACTGCAGGGACTGCCTGTAGTCACTGACAGCTGTAACCATCACAACTAAAAATATACTGAGTATAATCCCAAGTCCGTCATACATTCCTTTGGGCCAGCCCTCAGTGGCAATACCAACAGCAATGGAGACCAATGCACAAACGATAAGTATGATAAGGGTCAAGTCGTGAAGGGCCTCCCAGACGAACATCCAGAAGCTCTTGGGAGGCTTCTCTGTGTATTGGTTGGGCCCAAACACGTTTTGTCGGGTGGGGACATCACTCGGGTTCACGCCTTTGTCTAGGGAGACATTTAATCTTTCCGCAAGTCCCTCGACTCCCTTGAGTTTCCTCAGTGTCTTGATGTCATAGGAGGAAACTATCGAAGCGAGTTTGTCCGGGTGCATTTGGAAGCCGGCCACACGGGCTTCTTCTGGAAGCCCGTTTTGGACATTAGTTTCTCCATCTGGTCCTTGGTGTTCGCCTGAATCCTCTGAGGGTGAGGTTTTGCCGTGTGCGCCTACTGTGAAAGGAAACATTAGTCATTTGACGAGTAATATGTGATGTAACCAAATTTACATAGATGAGTAGGAATATACCATCTATAAACCTGAGAGCTGCTGTGTATGCCACGAAACAAACTCGTATATTTTCCTTGAAAATGAGCATTATGTTAGACAGACATATAGAATGCTAGAAGCAACTACAAGACACCAAATTAGAACACGACAACAAAAATGAAAATGATCAATAAATGGAAAATTTCAAATATTGTGCCTACTACAAAAGGTTTAAGGAAGAGTAAAGAAAACAAATGCAATAAAAATTACATGCTGTACATATTACTACACATGTAAATTTGATCCAACTTTTGTTTGGTGTTTGAATTTGATCGATTGATCAGATATGGGTCCACTCAGTTGCACAGAATTAATTATGTCCAAAACCAACTACAATGTTTTCAGAACCAAGTGAATGCCTATTAATTGATGGCATTTGGGGGAAAAACAAACAAACACATACGTCCACATTAGAAATCAGTACTAAAGATACGTTCATGGGATATTCATACAATTGAGAAATGCTTTTGTTTCTTACACGCATCTATCACATAGTCATTACACTCTGTATTGCAAAAGGAAACATGTATTATAACTTTTACCTTACTGGAAGGGGGAAAAGAAATAAGGAAAGTCATATAGAGTGTA